CCCTCATCTTCCTGCTCGTCTGATGGATGGTAAGAAGAAGATCCACCTAATAAAGCAGGACCCATTGAGCGGAGCCCAGATCGACGAGGAAGACCAATGGCAAAAGATTCTTGCCTCTCTTCCTCTCCCATCACTTTAATAGTATCCTCCATCAGTCTTGATCCCCGCGGACCTTTGGGAGTAGAGGATTCAACCAACAACTTTCGACGAGCATGTTTCTCATGTTGACCAGCTTCCTCTATAGTAAGAGCCCTTTTCCCAACTGCTCTTGTTCTTGGAGTTTCAGTTATCTGAGGTTCTTCTACTTGCGCTCCCTCGGATACCTTGGTCTCCTCCCTCCTTAGTAGGCACCTCCTCATAAGATAAATACTTGTTGATTCCCTTCAGACGAGACATCTTAGACCCCCTTCTTGAGGCATACATTTTTCTGATCTCTCTCAGACCAGATAAGTTCAACTTGTACTCTGGCATCTGAGAAGAAGCTTGGTACCAGTTGCAGAAACTCATGGAAACCAAGGAGTTGGGCGTCTTGTGAGGTAATCTAAATTTGGCCCAGGTACAACCCGAGATAGAATAATACCAAGCCCTAGCTCCTTCATACAGATTACCGACAACTGCAAGTTGAGCCCTGGGATTCTCAACGTATAACTGGTCATATCCGAATTGTCGGGCGAACCTATATGGTTTATAAGGCTCGATAAAACACTTCTCACCCTGTCGGAAGAGGAGATAACCCGACCTGATATTAAGCAACCAGCGAAAAACGCCCTCATTCAGTTGAGTGAACCCATTGGTGCCTGCCACATCTTGGAATACTTGTCCATACCCTCCGCCTTCGAAGTCAGGGAAGCAGCGAAAAACATGATAGTTAAGATCTCTTGACAGAATGTGGCGAATCTTAACCATATAGGTCCCCTCCCACGTAGTTGCTTCAAGCCATTGTACAAGTGGGATAAATTAATCGCCCTGGGCAGGAGGCGCACTCGTCAGGGAAGGGCAATGTGCGACGTACCACACCATCAGATAAGTATATGACATCGATACGTGAGGGTTCGAGGTAGTGAGGCTCTTCTTTTCACCAGAACCTATCTCCTTGACTTGAATGAAATCAAGGGCCAACTCTCACAAACCATATTGCAAAATAACTTATTATTGCCGAGAACAGATTTAAAGGCCTCCTATGGGCTAGAAGAATAGTCGGGTACACCACCTCTGCTACAAGGGCATCTACTGCCCTTGTGGGGACAGCACAGTGTTTCAGTCATAACATTAAAAATCCAGCTAACAAGGTCATATCTGATATAGGGGGTGCCACTGGATGATGGAAGCTCTCAAACTCAGTCCGAGCTGGGAAAATGTCCTCTCTACCCTAATTAATATAGTGAGCAGTTGCATCATTGATCCGGGCTTGGATGTCCTCCGGAGTGCTCATAGTCAAACGAGATATGGTAGCGCCCTTGTGGGTCAGATTTTGAAACAAGTATTCTGCCCATGATACTTGTTTCACGCCACTCCCTCTTGCCCCTGTCAGCTGTGTGCAGATATGAAAATGACTCATTACTTCCCAAAGAGTATCATAGATCTCAGGGCTTGACTTCCTCAAGATTTTGAGTTCTGCTGCTCCCGGTACGAATTCTTCATAAGGGAAGTCCCCGAAAGGAAGACCGGAAATGTCATGCATTTCATGGATGGCGAAACCCTACTCCCCGACGGGAGTGAAGAAAGTGCAGGTTTCAGGGTTATACCGCTCCAATATGGCATAGAAATTATAATGACTATGAGCGATACCGTACCGAGTGGCCATCACATGACAACCAAGATCAGATTTGGCAAGTGGCGTCTCAAGCTCCTTCAAGACAAACTCTGTCACCCGGGTCCACCATCCTGCCTTCGTAGAATGCACCCATCCAGGGGACCTGAATACTTGTGCAGGGAATTCGTCTTTCACCGCCACAAATCTTTGGATGAAAGTGTTAGCCAGACTAGCCACTTCACCAATTGGATATTCCCTTGAAAATAAGCATGGTCCTAGAGCTATCACTTGTCGGTTATAACCTACGGTGCGGACGCCATAAAAAATCAGAGCACCAACTGCAACCCTGTCTTGCTCCTTGACGAGATCCCAATGCATGTGCCTCGGGATGGAAGCACACTGAAAGTATGATAGAGGGAACATTCTCTCCATGTTGTGTAGAAAGATACGGCGATCCCCACCTTCCTTAACCATTTATAATCCCCGTCGTACATGATATCCTTCTCGATTACGACAGAGTCTCCAAACAAAAAATGTCGGTTTGTTAAACCTCTTGAGGTCTAAGTTCTCAAATCTGGCATCTATAACCAAGACCCTGAGCGTTGCTGGAGAGGCTTGGGTAATAGTATCTGCACGCTCCTTATCAGTATCTTGGAAGATGGGGAGTTCCTAACGTAGATTGAACGTCATGTTGCAATCCACACCACCTTCATGGCCGAAATGATGGTAGAAGGAAAGAGGCTCATTGGTATAGCGCACTGCAAATGGAAGAAATAATCAGTTAGCTCAGAGCTAAAATAAGTCTAAACAGACTTAGTTCGAAACGCAGATCAGACCCACACAGAGGTCGAACCCTGCATTTAAAAAATCAAAATGCAGAGGTCAACCCAACGTTTCAAAAACCAAAACGCAGAGGCCAACTCAGTGTTTCAAAATCAAAACGCAGAGGCCAATCCAACGTTTCAAAGTCAAAACGACAGGCTCAGACTTGCGTTTCAAGTTCGAAACGCAGAGATCCACCTCTGCGTTCTAGTAACAAGATGAGCCTTGTTCGTCATTCAAAATCCAGAACTTGTCAAAACAAGTATTTTAGTCCATAGGGTCCCATACTTACCGCCAACAAATGGAATTTGTGGCGTGGTGCACGCCAATCGCCTGAGCCGCGGGGCACCACCGGTGGCCGAACCGTCGGTGCATCTAAACTCGCCGATGTGGGTTTCTTGGCACGCGTCTTGGAAGCGACTTTCTTGGGGGCCATCGGATTCATGAGTGGGAAGTTCGTCGAAGATTTGAACGAAGATCCTCGTTGAGTTCATCGAAGAGGAATAGAAGAGCCAGATGACCCTCGATTCGAGCATGGCAGCCTATTATAGCTATGAGCTGTCAAATCGGTACGGGATTTTAAGCAAAAATCCCGCCCAAAACGTGATCTCTGCGTTTACAATTAAGTCAGTTAGACTTCTAAACGCAGAAGTTCAGCCTTGCGTTTCAACTTTTAAACGCAAAGTTCATCCTTGCGTTTCAAGTTCCAAACGCCAAGATTCACCTTTGCGTTTCAACTTCCAAATGCCAAGATCAACCCTGCGTTTCAACTTCCAAACGCAAAACACCACCTCTATATTTCTTAAGCAGAATCATGGTGTTCACCCTCATACGGGTCTTGTTTAGCAAATTTTTTCAACCAAGTTCACGATGCCTTCGAAACAGACATAGTGGACAATCATTCAACCAATCCAAGATCAAAATCAAGATCCAAAGTATTCCGAAAATTTATTTCAGTCGATCGCGAACTTTCGAAAACTATGGAGGGGGTTCTGTAGGTTGTCTAAAAAATTACTGCAGATAGCTGATCCCCATCGAATATCAGCAATGGAAGTTACAACCTGACAACTTCCATATCAACAACTTGGCGACGAGAGTTACAATCAGACGACTTTCACGTCAACAAACAAAGGCTACAATTAGAAGGTTTTCACGTAGGTCGAAAAAGGTTATAATTTGACGACCTTCACGACAACCGATGAAAGCTCTAATTCAACGGTCTTCATAATCAACAGCGGGAGTTACAATCTGATGACTCCTACATTTCAAGGAGCTCAAGCGAAGATTACAAAACAACAGTCTTCACAACGCTTCGATAAAAGAGATTACAAATCAACAATCTCTTCAATTTAAAACACAGAGTTCACATCTGAGTTCCAGATTCAAAACGCTGTGCGACCACTGTGTTTCTAGCCATCAGAGCAAAGATCAACTCTGCATCCCAGTCTTCAGATGCAGAGTCCATGCCAGAACGCTAGATTAGCGTTTGACTTGTTCAAGCACACCTGAACGGTTCCAGAACTGTTTTTGCACTATTTGAGGGGATCACACCCACCCCCTTTATGGAGTGATTTAAGGGGGCGATTACACCTCTTAATCCCCAATAAATAGCTAAAAATCAGCTTAAAAGGGATCTTATTTTTTAGATCTTCGAACTGGGGGGGGGGGCTCTTTTGGGATCTTGGAGCACTTTTGGATTTTGCAGAGATCGGCATTCACCCTTGGAGATCTAGGATCATTCCTTGGCAGCAGAGATCTTTGGAGCTTTTCTTCATCTTTGGCTGTTAACCGATTTCGGTTAAATCAAATTAACTCTTTCAAAGAGTTTTCAACTCGCTCTGAGTTCTTTAACTCGTTAAGAGTTTCACACTTGCCACAGAAGTACTCCTCAACATCAACTGACAGGAAGATATCGTGTTCCACAAGGTGAAGCATTCGGATCGTCAACGGGATACAAGGATCTGAACTCCCATCGACACCAAAAAGAACTCAGGTTAAACAAAGGGAATGGTCTCCGTCGATCCCTTCTCTCTTTTGTAAATCGGGAAACCAATTGAGAGGAATTGTAATTTCTTTTTCTAAGTTTGTTAGAGAGAGATTGCATCGAGAGAATTATAATTTCTTTTTCTAAATCTGTTAGAGAAAATAATACAAATTCAATTATCCATTTTCTTTTTTCAATTTTCCCACAAACACACATTAATAGAAAGAGATACGCAGTTCAGTTGAGACTCAAGAAGGGACTACAGTTATCAACAACTAATGCCATAGTTCTACAGGAGCAATTTGGTTATCTCACCAAAGATGATGCAGAATGCAGACTGTAAGTG